ACAAGTTCTTTGCCGATCGTTTAGCAGCCAGGCCATGTGAGGGAATCAACTTCCCCACATAGCTCTCCGACCTTCTGTGTGCGAAAAGCAACAGGAGGGTGGCGGATAGTGCACGCGTTTAACAAATTGAACGCTGCAACGGTACCGGCTCAGACGCCGATACCGAGGAAGGACGTAATCATTGATGGTATGTCAAAGAGTACCATCTTTTCGTCCATGGATTTGATGGATGGCTTCTATCAAATCCTAATGCGGGAACAGGATATACTCTATACCGCAGTTAGCACGCCTAGCGGCATGCTCTGGGAATGGCTAGTAATGCCACAAGGGCTCAGTAATGCCCCTGCCACGTTCAACAGGTGTGTATCACATCTGTTGAGGCCAGTACGAGAATTCGCGCCGAGTTATTTCGATGACGTATTCATCCATAGTCGAGCTATGGATGGAAAGTCGGACGTTGAGGTTCACAAGTACCACGTCCGACAAGTTCTTACAATCATGCGAAAGCATCAATTGTATGCAAACCTCAAGAAGTGTATATTTGCAGCAAGCGAAATACCACTTCTTGGGTGCATCGTTAGTAAGAACGGTGTACGTCCTGATCCCGAAAAGATCAAGGCGATCACCGACTGGCCCGTGCCGGTCGATGTCAAAGGTCTTCGAAAATTCCTTGGGCTAGCGGCGTATTTGCATAAGTATTCACGCAATTACGCCGAGATGACTGTACACCTCTCTCGTTTGTTGAAAAAGAACGAGAGGTGGTTATGGAACGCTGAATGTCAACGCTCCTTTGAGGGTATCAAGCAGAGCTTGATACAATCCCCAGTCCTAGCAATAGCCGATCAGGACAGGCCATTTCATGTGGTCTGTGATGCCAGCGATTTCGCAATCGGCTGTGCATTAATGCAGTACGACCTTGAAGGCGTTGAACGCGTCGTCTGCTATCAGTCGCGTCAGCTGCAACCAGCTGAGCGGAACTATCCAGTGCATGACAAGGAACTCCTTGCCATGAAGTATGCACTCGCGAAGTTCAGAGTCTATCTATTAGGAGATAGACCCTTCGTTGTTTACACTGACCATGCGTCCTTACGCACGGCAGTGAACAGCCCGCACCTTTCACAACGAATGGCGCGGTGGTTGTCATTCTTTGCAGAATGCAACTTTACGGTCGAGTACAAACCAGGACGACTTAATGTCGTCGCTGATGCGCTCTCACGTCGTCCCGACTTTGAAACAGTCGCGAAACCCAACAGTGAGACAGTCACTGTTGCGGTTATGACGTCCTCAGTTCCATCTACAACGTTGTATGATGATGTGAGGCGGGCATACGCCCAAGATGGTGAGATAGTGAAGTTGTTGTCACATCTCTCCCAACCATCTCGAGAATCGTTGAAACGATTGTCGTCTGCGTATCGATCTGCATCAGATCGATACACTACTCGTAACGGTTTACTGTACTATACAGCCGTTTCTGGTGACACACCACGTGTTGTCATTCCAGATGATACTGATCTGCGTTTGCGGATCATGTTCGAGTATCACGATGCTCCTATAGGAGGACATCGTGGCCGAGAGAAAACATATCTCACGGTAAGTCGAGACTTTTACTGGCCCCGCCAGTATCAGTTTGTGCGAAAGTATGTTCGCGCATGCGAAGTCTGCCAACGAGTGAAGTCAAGTCCTTCACTGCGTGCACCTTTACAGCCTCTACCGGTTCCGGCTGAGTGCTGGGAATCCATCTCAATGGATTTCGTCTTCGGGTTACCCAAAGACGCACGCGGGAATACGGGTATTCTCGTATTTGTTGACAGATTCAGCAAAATGGTACACCTTGTGGCTGTACCAGAGACAATCACGGCAAGTGGCTGTGCTTGTGTCTTTATTGACACCATCTTCCGACTTCATGGGTTGCCCCGTGAACTCGTATCAGACAGAGATCCACGATTCACTGCTGATTTCTGGCGTTCCGTGTTCAAATCACTCGGAACGCGCTTGAAGATGTCAACATCTGATCATCCAGAGTCAGATGGTCAGACGGAACGTGCCAATCGTGTCCTTGAAGAGATACTTCGAGGATATGTACACTCCTTTAAGAGTTGGAGTGAGTTTTTGCCAATGGTAGAGTTTGCCATTAACAACTCGGTGCATGCGTTCACGACACATACACCGTTTTACGTGAATGGCTTGCGCCATCCGCGTGTACCCACCTTACTAGAGTGTAACTCTGGTTTAAGGGGGGGAGGGACTCGCGCGAGCAAAAACCGATTTGGTTCACGCTCATCACGCTCTGACGAAGAAGTCATTGCGTTTGATGCCGATATCGATAACATCGATATCGAAGAAGATGATGCCAGTGAGAGTGCGGAAGCCCTCACTGAAGACAATGATCCCAGTGAAAGTGCGGAAGCCCTCACTGAAGAAAAGGTTGTTGTCGCTGCAGTGCGCTCACAGCACACTGAAGCTAACGAGTCATCAGATGAGTTCATACTGGCTCGTGAAACGGTAGTCCGTTTTGTGCAAGACTCCATCGCCGAAGCGGTGGATAAGCAAAAGCAAAACGCTGACAAGAATGGAAGGGCAAACACTCTTTTATTTAATAAAGGTGAATTAGTCCTACTGTCTACGGTTAATCTACCAAAGCATGTAGTGACTAACTTGGGTAGCAGTAAACTACTACCCAAGTACATTGGCCCATTTCGTGTATTGCACCGCCTAGGCAATGCATACACGATCGAGTTACCACGTAAGATGCGAACGCATCCCACGTTTTACGTTGGTCGGCTTAAGCCGTACCATCAGTACGCTGCTTCTTCCGATGAAGAACGCCCTTGCGCTCAAGCATCTCGCAGAGAGCCTTGTGCTCCCGATGGTGGGCATCAACAAGGGTCTGAAGAGCGGTTATCTCAGCCCGAGACCGATCAACAATCCCACGAGCTACCCTTAGCTCGTCACGAAGAGATGTCAGAGATCTCTCGTTCTCAAGCTGAGCAAAGGCAAACTCAGCTCGATGCTTCGAGGCAGTGTCCACCATCTGGAGACGCCTATTCCGCTCATGCTCGAGATCGTCGCGTAACCCTTGCGTTACGCGATCAAAGAAGCTCTCGGGAACACACCGATCCACATGATCGTGTGGAGAGCGTCTTTCCTCCTCCTCCACCTCCATTAGAGGACTCTCGCGGTGGCCAGCGCTATCTAGTAGAGCAGCTGTTGAACCACCGCGACGTGAACGGACGTCGGACGAGTTACCTCGTCCGGTGGCGCGGCTATCCCCCGTCCTGGGATTCTTGGGAGCCCCGCTCCCAATTGATGGTTGACGTACTGGGTCTGGTCGAGCAGTACGACGCGACACATCCTGTGCCGCAGAAGGACCGCCGGAGAAAGTCTTCCCGGCACCGTCGTAAAGGGATTTCAGGTTGTCAATCCCTTCGTACATCTCAGTAGAGACACGTACGCGCCACCACGGGCTGGTAAGGAGGTAAGCCTCCTTAGGTGCTCGTGCAGAGTTGTTCACACAACATGGGCACGAGTCTCCCCAAGAGAGGCAGGGTAATACTTTCTCCCTTGACAGACGATGCAGCTTATAGCATGCACCTGTCGGGGTTCGCTTTTCAAACTTATCACGAGCTTTGATAAGTTTGTCGTTCCAAGCGTCACGACCTACATCCTCGAGATTATGGATGTAGGCGTTCCACGCCTGAAGTAGTGAGGGACCATCACGTTTGTGATTCCCACTGTACCATCGATGTCTGAAGAAAGCATCGATGAAGAATTCATGTTCAGCGCGATAGTCTTTCGCGCTGGGGTCAAGGTGATGAATCCTCGACGAATCGAACAATCGTGTTCGATAACGATCACTCGTCGTCGCCGACAAGTGATCCATGACAGATTTAGGAGGCATCCATGCCTTCTTTTCTGGAGCGAGACGCAACACATTGCGGTCCCGCTCTTCCTGCGACGTGCCGACAGAAGTACTGGCACCTCGCTGTGAAGTGGTGTCCATTGGAGAAACGACACCACTATTAGCGCCCGAGTCTCGCGACCTCGAGCGCCTTCGCTTCGGCGATGGTTCATCTGACTCATCAGATGAACCAAAGATGCTGCGACGCAAAGCATCGTCCATGCCACGCTTGGCAGGCGGCTTGGATTCAATTGCCGTCGATACGGATCCGTCATCCGTATCAGGAGAGTATGAGACACCGAGCTCGTACTCTGTGAAGACACGAGTGTCTTCATGACCAGCGCCTGCATCACCAGGTGATACAGGCTGAGTCGATTCAGCAACCGATGGGACATCAGTTGCTGTAGTTTCTGCTTCGGCGTCCGCACAGAGACGTGCAGACGCGCTCTCGGCGGCCTTGCTCGCGCATCGCATGGGCTTGTTTACCATGCGATGAGATGTTGGAAAGTGGACGCGGACCAACAAGTGCAAACCCCGTCCCAAATGATTTGGGACGAGTATCCATTTAGTCAATCAGTCACTAAAGTGACTGATGGTTAAGGGGGGTGATGTAACGGGGTGAATCGTTACATAACAATTTATAAGAAATTGTTAATAGAATATAACTATAAGAGTTATATTCTCAGAATATTGTCATAAGGACAATATTCTGTAGCACTTCCAAGTAGTTCCTAATTGGTTGATATAGGCCATTATATCAACCAACGAAGACGCGCCACGACAGACGCACGCAATGAGTGGTGAGCAGATAACTGATTTACACATTTGTATTTAGACATAGTTAGATGAAGATAAATAGTGATTTATTGCAGACATTAACTATTATAAATACAGTTCTACTTTTTACTCTAACCGAGTACTCGCTTCTTCTTACCGTCTTCCTCTGCACGTACGAGTGTACGTGAAGTTACGAGGCACCGCCTTATTCTGTTATCAGAATAAGTAGCTTGTACTGTCACCAGTACAAGCTTCAGGGTGCCCCGTTACATGGGTTCCCTACTACTCGAAGTAAGTGGTGGTTTTAATGACTGATACTGTACCAATGTGCAAAGCTAATTACGGGGTTTTGTACAATGAAGTGGAACGTATGATGGTATTACTGCACGAGAGTCTTGAAGGAACAGTCAACGTGTATACGATGGATCTTCGTGGAGTTGGACGCAGCACCCTACTGGATTGCGTAGCAACAAAAGCCATGACCAGTGGGTCTCTCTACGGCCGATTGATCCATCCCTTGGAGGTTTCGTCCTGTGCTAGAGAACTACACCGTAAGTATGGCGACCTAGCTTCGTTTTCGACCACAAGCGCTGCCATTGACGTTTCGACCTTCATCTCCGAGTACGCAAATGGCATGAGAACTACCGTGTACGGCGTGAGCTACGGAACTCTGGTGGTCCAACGTCTGATGCATTTCAATCCGTCAAATGTGACTGGATACGTGCTGGATGGCATCGTGACCACTACAGGAGCGCCTGGTGATAGGGCTTACTTAACAAGTTGGGACGCTGACTTTGATGACGTGTGCAGGCGTTTCATGAAGCGATGTGCGCAAGACAGCGAGTGTGACTCTCACTTTAAAACCACCGACTTGTCTGCTACGCTTCATAATGTGCTCTCGATGTTTGACACCAACCCCAACTCGACGTGTGCCACCCTGATACGTAACTCGACAGGGTGTGAACCGTCCGAAGGCCTTCGACGAGAGCTGGGCATGCTTTTGGAGAAATCTGCCACACGGTCTCTGATCCCACCGCTGGTATACAGACTCAGTCGTTGCGGTTGGAACGACCTCAAAGTCTTGACGCGCTACTTCGAAGCCATCAGCACTATCCCACCAAGTATTTACAAAGATACGTCGGAGTTGATCTACAATATGGTCACTTTCTCCGAGCTGTGGGAGATACGTACACCTTCCTACGCCGAATTGGAAAAACGATTTACTGACGCGAGCATATCGAGCGGAGCTCTATACGAGTTTCTTTCCTTATATTGCGCATTCTCAAAAGAAGAATCGCCAGCATGTGATGGATTTGAACTTGACAACTACGAAGCGAATGGCATCATGTACCTGCGTGACCAGTACTATGCCATGACTCCTCCCGTGCCCGATCATGCCAGCGTGCTCTTGATGAATGACAATCTTGACCCTGTAACTCACCCAAGATACGCCATGTCTTTGTATAAGGCACTTAACACTACCAGGAAGGAACTCGTTCTATTCGACTACGCATCGCATGGTGTTGTAAATTCGACCGTGTTTGGAGATGGCGTGAGGACTTGCGGTATGGAGCTGCTAGTATCGTACGTTGCCGGAAACGGCGCCCTTGAACGCTTGGACAAGACATGCATAGCTAAGATGCCAGCGTTCGACATGACAATGTCGCCTGAGGACTTGAGATTTTACTTCGGCACCGATGACGCGTACGACAGTGTCTTGATTCCATCTGGGCTGAATGGGATCGTTGGTTCGGGGTAAGTGCCAGTACAGTGATGCACGGAGCTGAAGAGATGCCTGTAAGCTCTGACTGATCAAGACTTCCACCTGCAAACGCACTGACATTCTGACACAACTGATGTTTCTTTTTTCTGTCCACACCTTTGAATTCTCTACGGCATGCAAATGTGGTTGCACGTTTACAGTACGTATGATTAGCTTGCCGGTATTTATATGATCACCACCGGAGTCTATCTTCGCTGTGGTCAAAGGGTAACTATTCCTAAGCACATGAAAGTACACATGACAATATGCAAAGACAAATGATCTAGATGTCGCGAATGGCTCGACGATATAAACGTGCAGACATGAGCGACTACAATCATCAATTGGAACTGCGTCGGGCGAGCTTATCATAATTCGAGATTGAAGGCTTGATTGCTGTTGGGGCGTTGTGTGGTCAACGAAGCGAGTGAAGTGACTTACATTCAATTTGTAATTTTGCTTGCTAGTTGTGCATCCCAGTTTGCGCAAAGAAGGTCAAATACGCTATTGATATCTCCGGTGATTTCGTTGCGAGCCCAAAGGGCGAAGCCAGTAGTGGCTGTGCGTAAGGTGTTACAAAGCTATCGAATCTGACACTTTCACAGATAGGTTCCCTGATTCACTGATATGCGTTTTTTTCACTAAGGTACCGCGTTATCGCTTTACATATAATTATATCGATTATTTAACTTCAATAATCCCAGGATAGGGCAGAGTGTACCTTACATATCACACTAAGCGCGATGTAGCCTATCCCTTGTTAATTATTTTAATTTGTATATAGCGCGTCACTCTTCGATTATCACACTTCTCACCGCCGCGTCAATAGTAAAAGTCACATACGAGCCAATGCTCTCACACGATTGGCACAATTGGAAAAGGGCGAACAAAGGGAAAATAAGCAAAAGCTCAATGCTTCGGCAACAAAATTCTCGCACCTTCGGCAAACAGTAAACATGAAGTGACTTTCATCTGGTGTGCTCGATAAAAGGAACGACTAAGCTCCCCTCACTTTCCTTGTTGAAATCCCTCAGTTTCATATAACGCTACATGGTTGACTGATCTGTAGGCATGTTAGAAGGATCAATATACCAATAAGATAGGGGAGTAAGTTCTAGAGCTCGCACTTCGTAACAAGTAATTCAGTTTGCTGAACCTATTCAAGCTACGAAACTTTATACAACAGCAGCAGCAACTGAAGAAGCATTATGATGCGATTAATGTATAAACTACCCCAGTAGTATGCTTAAGCAGCGCATTAGTCTTTACTTATGAGCGTCCAACATTTGCTTGCATGATCATATTCACCTTGGCCAAATTCAAGCCAATAACTAGCGTGCGTCACAATAGTGACCTAGCCAAAGAGTGACTACGGACATGCCAGTATGCCTTTGAGGGAGACAGGTTAGATCGCACTTAGTACAAGTGAGGTACACCTAGCCGCGTTATTTTCAGATAGACGCTGACAGATGAACAGACAGAAAGACACACAGACACACACGGATTCGTACGAATTAAGAGTTGGGCCTTCAATCTTTCGCATAGTCACTAATCGATTTACTCTTCTGGCGCGCAATAACTATTTGCTTCATCGAACAAAAAATCGATTGTGATTTTAGTGCACATAAGGTGGTTCAAAAACGGTCTACTGCTACCAAGAGCAGGCAAAAACAGCAGCTTTTACAATTGTTCAATGCATATGTGTTGAAAAGAACTATAGTAGTTTTGAGAGACTAATGTTTATATGTTCAGCTTCGTAAGACAATATAGCGTCGGTCTATTCGACCTGGCAAATTCGCTTGGACAAACTGTAGCTAATCCAGGCCTTAAAAATATCGTAGATTTGCTATTTGTAGCTGTCGATATCTAAAACTTAACACTGCAGTGATTTACAAAATACAGAAATCCGCAGCGGACTGCATGCAACCAATTGTCGAAATACAAGAAGACCCTCAACAAGTCCAGGCGCTTCAGCCGACCTGCAAAATTGGAACTCGACCCACGCCCACTTGATCGTCTATGGCAAGCTAACTTCTCTGGAGTCTGCTCATGCGTTGCATTTCAAAGTCCAGGTCAAGTCCTGTTGAAAGGCAAGCTTCAAGTTGATGTACCAAGAAAGTGGTACCAGTATCACTTTTGATATCATCTTTGCGCCGAGCAACTGTGGGAGTTTCATTTTATGATTTCTTCTGCAGAAAGGATTTGATAGCTAGCCAGGAGACAACGAAACTAATAACACTCTCTCTTTTGCATTTAATTGTGTGTCCTCTGTCTCTACCTTTGTGTATTGACTTCTAACAGGTTATGAGCCCAAAGCACGGGGCACTCAGGGGTGACACGCGCGACGGCGCGTATGCGGAAGCAGCCCCTGCCACTGGTCACGAAAGGGTCAGTGAGCATGAAGATTATGAAGAGAAGAGAAAGCAAGGTGTTGTCCATGCGGTGGACAATGCTGTCACCAGGAGTGACGACGCGTCAGAGCTCCTGGTGCTGATGAGAGGAATAACCGGACGTCTGGATAGGCTAGAGGAGTCGCAGACAAGGTTGATAAAAGCTGAGGAAGGGCGTGGAAGACATAGAGACGCGCCTATGACTCCGCCTAGACATTCAAGTTTGTTTGTTTCGGCTTTGGGAAGTGGAACAAGAATGCACATGGACAACTTGGAAGGGTCCAAGGGTGCGCCGGTATTTACTCCGAGGAGACCGGTTGAAGGGCAGATGTCGTTTGGTGCTGGACAGCCCGAATATAATGGACCCAGCCAGGACGTTCGCGGTCAAGTTGCACCAGGACTTGGAATTCCTGATATGTTGCCCCAAGCTGGAGGACATGGGTACATGCAACATCCCGACTTAAATGGATACGGTCATGCACAAGGAAATATACTTCAAGTGCGATATCCTGATGCAAGGCAAAAGAAGCTCGGCATTCGGCCGTTTGATGGAAGCGAACTGTATGAAGGACTTGGTTCTGGATTCTTGGAGTGGGGTCGGAGATTCGAGCGACAAATTTCTTTGGCGCAGTCATCTTGTGGATTTGAATGGCCTGAAGATGTGAAAGTGGATTTGCTTGGTTTGTATCTCTCTGGGACTGCAGAGAGATACTATAACAGACAAGTTGCGATGTGGTGGAGTCAATTACCCACTTTGCAGTACGTAATGGAGAAAATGCTTGAAGCATTCAAGACAAGTATAACACCGGCCCAAGCGATGAAACTTTTTACGCAACGTAAGAACCCGAACCGTAGTTGGCCAGAACATTACATGTATTTGGCAGCAATTTCCGAAGTTTGTGGAAACGGTGGTGATTATTTGGTTCTGGAAAATATTGTGCAATACGCCTCTGAGGCTATGCGAACAATTTTACTGGCAAAAGTTGATCACACGAGAACGGACTACCTGGTACAAGCAGAACAGCTCGCTCACTTTGCGCAAGCGTATGAGTTACACACTGGGAGAGAAAGAACTCTCGGGCGAGAAAAAGTGAGCACAAGAAAAGTCGTTAATTCTGTTTCCGATCGACAACGCAAGGAAACGCGTAGATGTCACTTTTGTCACGAAGTTGGACATTTGCAGGGAGCGTGTCCGAAACGCAAGCGACCACAAGGACCTCGAACAAATTTGTCGCTTGCTGTGAATGAAGTCTCAAGTCAACAAGACGATGTCTGGATCTTGGATAGCGGATCCAGTAGACACTTGGTCAGTGATGAGTCGTGGCTTCACAACGTCGAGTCGTGTGAAGGGGTTTGTCATCAACCCGATGGACAGCCGCTTCTTATAAACAAAAGAGGCACTGTGACAATTAACGTCTTGGCTTGTGGAGTTGAGCGTGTGCTGACTCTTACAGATGTATACTTTGCTGAGGGTGTGAAGCATAATTTAATTTCGTATGGAATCTTGGACCGAAAGGGTTACACACTTGGATACAATGGAACTCAACGTGTTATATCCAATAGAGTTACTGGAGCTGTGGCTTTTGATGTTCAATTGGTTGGTAACGTTCTTGTGGTGCCGTGTCGAGTGATGGATAACGATGTTGAACCGGTTGGAGTAATTATGGCGGTCTTGGGTGAAGAAGCAAGTGTCCAAGTGTCTTCCGCTGTCCAAAAAGGCAGTTTAATGGATTTTCACAAGCGTTTTGGCCATTTAAACTACGAAAGGATAATAAAATTGGCTACAGATCCTTATTGTGATTTTTTGCTTACGGACAAGTGTCGCGACTTTTGTTACACTTGCTCACAAGGCAAACAGACCAAGAACAAACAGCAAAGGCACGACTCTGGGCAACACTCACCTATTGACAGGATTGGAGGTGTTATTTGTTCGGACATCAAGGGCCCGATGACTCCAAAGGATCGGCTAAATAATCGCTATATGATCAACGAAGTTGATCATAAGAGCAATTATTGTCGTGTATTTCTTACTCGCACTAAAGACGCTGCAGCAAAGAAATTTAAAGATTTTCTGATTTTTTTCGAGAAAAAATTTAATTGTCGTGTGCACGTTCTTCGCACGGACTCAGAAGGAGAGTACCAGAATGTAGATTTATTCTGCAAGAAGTCGGGCGTTGCAAGACAGCGAAGTGAAGCAAGAAACCAAGCCAGCAATGGAAAGGCTGAGCGCATGCATCGGACCATCATGAATATGGCCCGTTGCATGATATTTGCGTCAGGATTGCCACTCAATTTCTGGGGTGACGCGGTTGAATATGCTGCTTATATTTTGAACCGGGCCCCTACAAATTCGAATGCTGAGCGAATGTCACCGATGAAGGTGCTGACGGACCAGACCCCGTCGCTAGGTGAAATTGTCGTTTTTGGATCACCATGTACAGTGTACAGAGATCCTAAGAAGAAGAATTTTGCTCCTAGAGGACAAAAAGGGATTATCGTTGGCATTGGTGAAGAAACCAAAGGGTATCGTGTATACCTGCCGAAGGATAAAGTGGTTGTTGTCTCGCAGCATGTTCAAAATATTGAGACACTGAACAAGACCCAGAACAAGCAAGTTCAAGAATTGTATCTGCAGAATCCTACTAGTCTGGAAGATAATGACTCCGCGCGAGATCAAGTTCAGGAGGGAGGTAATACCAGATATCAAGATCTGGAGGAGGCGACGAGTCGTAAGGACCAGACACAGAATATGGAGAAAAGGACTCCGTGGACAAGAAAGAAGAAGGTTGTGACAAGATCGGCGAGCAAGAATAAACGCTCAAGCCAGGGACAAAGAACTGAGAGTTCAGCCATGGATACTGACGTTGTCAATGTTGTCACAACATCTGACCCGAGAAATTTTGGTGAAGCTATGCGTAGCAGTCACAAGGAAGGATGGATGAAGGCAATTTCTGAAGAATTGCAAGCCTTGGAGAACAATGAAGTTTGGAGTATTGTGAAGGCTCCAAAAGATATTCGAGCACTTCACTCGAAGTGGGTTTTTAAGACGAAGCGTGACGCAGAAGGTGGCATCGAGAGATTGAAGGCGAGATTGGTCGCGTGTGGAAATGAACAAGTCTTTGGAGTGAACTATGGAGTTACGTTTGCTGCTGTGATTGATATGTCCAGCGTGAAGATGATTTTCGCACTGGCAAGAAAGTGGAAGGTGCCTGCGAAGCATGGAGATGTTCCAAATGCTTACGTTAAAGCAGACAAGGAAGATAATCTCGATATCTACATCCACGTACCACAGGGCATGCAGATTGCAGAGGACTTAAAGAAGAAGATCGGTGTTTCACAGAACAACGAGATTGTTTTGGAGCTGAAGAAGGCACTATATGGATTAAAACAAGCAGGAAGACTATGGAGTAAATTGCTACACCAGAAATTGGTTGATATTGGTTTTAAACAAAGTCTCACGGACATGTGTGTCTACTTTAGATGGACACATGGTCATCTATTGATTGTTGTAGTTTACGTGGATGACCTTCTGGTAACAGGAAGTGATCAGGGTTCTGTGAATTCTTTTATTGATGAGCTCAATTCACTATCGTTCAAGGATCTTGGATGTGCTCGCAAGTTTTTGGGTATGCGTATTCAATACAATGACGAAAATGGGTACACTTTTGATCAAGAAGTTGGAATTATGGACATGCTGAAGGAGCATGGTCTCGAAATGGGACATAGCGTGCGTGTTCCAATTACTCAAGACTGGAACGATAATGAAGAATCGGTAGCTGTGCCGTTACCGGTATTTGGAGGAGATGGTGTGGTTACGGTGAAAGTTTTCCAGTCACTTGTGGGGAGTTTACTATGGATTTCGCGTTGCACCAGACCAGATATCGCTTTCGCGGTGCATAAAGCGTCAAGAAGGACTCATAAGCCCACGATGGGAGATTATAAGTTGGCCAAGAAAATTGCGAGGTACCTATCTGGCACGAAGACATTGCGACTTTCTATGATTGGAAGAGAAGATGAACCAGAGCTGTTACAAGTGGTTGGGTACAGTGATGCGGATTTCGCTGCCGACAAAGGTGACAGAAAATCTGTCACGGGTGGTTTAATTACGATTGATGGCATGCCAGTGAGCTGGATGTGCAAGAAGCAAGGCGGTGTATCACTTTCGACCATGGAGGCTGAGTTTACAGCTGCATCCATTATGGCTCGAGAACTCTTGGGCATTCGCGAACTGTTGCAAGAGTTAGATTTGAGATTTGAAGAGCCTATAACACTGCGAGTGGATAACCAAGCGGCTTTGAAACAACTTGACGGTGAGAGAGCTTCGGCTAAGGCCAAACAAATTGATGTGCGCATCAAGTTTGTCGGTGATTTCGCGAAGCGAGGAATCATAAAGCCTGAATATCGAGAAACTTCGAGTATGCCTGCGGACATACTAACGAAGGCATTGGCTGCACCGAGATTGGTCGAGATGCGTCAAGTGATCGGTTTAAAATAATCGATCGGAGTCGACGATGACAGAGCAAGGATCAAGTGTTTTGTCAGGACAGTGTCGACGAGGAGGAGTGTTGAAAGGCAAGCTTCAAGTTGATGTACCAAGAAAGTGGTACCAGTATCACTTTTGATATCATCTTTGCGCCGAGCAACTGTGGGAGTTTCATTTTATGATTTCTTCTGCAGAAAGGATTTGATAGCTAGCCAGGAGATAACGAAACTAATAACACTCTCTCTTTTGCATTTAATTGTGTGTCCTCTGTCTCCACCTTTGTGTATTGACTTCTAACAAGTCCAACGACTCCAAAGGCACGCGACCTGCTGGTGCCTGTTCTGCGTGCACGAGGGTCGCGACGAGGTCAAGGTCGGCCAGAACGGTCGCAAGTCAAAGAGTACTGCAACATTCGGATCTTCACCGCGCCGCTTCACTTGCACAGGTACCGCAGTCATGTAGAGTATCAGCACGCCGAATCGTGGGCACTCTACAAGGAGATGTCGAAGACCTACAAAGGGCTTTACTTTGCGAGCAAGGTAGAAATGTCCGATACGCTGCATCTTCATATCGCGCTCAAAGACAACGCGCCAACGTACGACATCAGCGCTCGCATCTCCAAAATAATTAATAGTGACCTGTTCTTTCGCGGTGACAATGTACTTGTCGATTTCGACGTCGACGAAGACAGTGGAGACTCGTGGCCAACATGCCCGCCAAGAAGGCTGCCAAGAAAGCCAAGGAAAAGCCCAACTTCTTTAGGCTCTTCGTCAAGAAGAAGAACGATGTTGATAGTATCAGCAACCGTCAAGAATGTCATGCGGTTCAATTTGGCGATGGACCACGTTTCGGTCGGCTAATCGTTCAGGCAGACCATTACCGCCATCCAACACGTAGGGGATCGCGAAAAGTCAGCAAAACTAACTGTTTTGAATGGCGAAAAAGTTGGTCAGTACGTTCGCGTCTTAGTCGGATCCTCTTTGCAAGACATCTCAGAAACGATGGGCGACATGTCCGTTTGAGCAGTCTTGCTTGCCTTTGACTCAAGCATGCACCGTGATCAGTCGTTCTTCGACATTCTACGTACGATTTTGCGTCAAAGGTAGGCTTTGCAACATCCATTTGGTCGGGATTTTGATGTTCGATTGCCACAAGGCGAAGATGATCTTTAACCTGCTCATTAGGTTTCCGGACGTGTTCTACCCAGACTGGCGCACCAAACTGCCAAGCGTTTCTTCCGATGGTGAGACTACCTTGACCGGGCAACGCGCTGGTATCTACACGCGCATCGCCTGTTAAGCCGAATCCAACGTGTTGCGTGTGTGGTGCTCGCCGCATCAGATCGAAGTCCTTCGCAGCTAACTGCATCAAAGACGGCGTATTTGTATAGGAAGTTTACTTGTTGTCCGTTCACCTACGATCTCAGAACAGTTTGATCATCACGACGGGCGTCAATTAGCTCAAGAAAACAAACCGGTGGGTGTATCTCGGTCGAGTCCTTAACTTTTGCAAAAATCATTGCCAGCAGATTATTATGCACATCAATAAGAAGCACCGTAAGAATCTGCCAGTGGCCGAATGGTGGCTTGTGACCTACGCATTGGTGCCTGCAGTCCATAAGACCAACATCACCTTTGCAAGCTGCAAAGCCGGTCCTTTGTGATTGCGCAGCAGAAAGAGTTCGTCAGTGCATTGATAGGCACTTTCACGAATATGTTCTGTGTCAAGTCTGTCCACCCCGACGAGCGCGACTAGGACGGTGGGAATGAATATGTATCGGTCGGCTCTATGCGTACCGACATCGCCAGCATCACACATCACATTCATGACCAAGAAAATGCCGCTGGCAAGTATTTTGGTCGTTTCAGAGTTGACAATAAGGAGACGTTCACTTTAGAGATCGTGATGTACGCTGTCACGCTCGTCACGGATCTTGTTATCTTCAAGGCTGAGCTTGACAAACAGCCTGCCCCCAGAAAATGATGTGCCACCTGTCATGCCTCAGCAATTGGTAAAGCTGAATCCTTCTATGTTCATCCAGGACGTGCTAAACAAGTATCGCGCCCGCCTCGACAAGTTTTGGACAAGTTGAGAAGCTCGAGACCGAACATCGGGACCTTGTCGAGACGTACGGCGGCAGCGTCGACGTCCCGGAGGCGATTGACAAGAATGACGCGCACACGCTGTTCAATGGCGCCTGGGACTGTGTTTCTCGTTCAAAGCGACTTCGCGCTTTTTGCGGCGGCCTCGCAACCTTTTTCCCCAACACGACATCTGTCGAATGCGACTTTTTGGTGCTCATTTATGAGCGCCGCACCGCCCACATGCGTTTGTCCTTGGAAGGTGTTTGCAGATAAGTAAAGAGCCATTCTGAAGCAGCTATGGTCCCATTAAGCATGCACAATATACATTGGTCCGCCGTCTCAAGTCATTCTTCACTTAAGGCGCCATTTATGGACTTTTGTACAAACAACTGGCAACAGTCCACAATTTAGCAGACTTTGTATATTTTGTAGGATTCTACAAAATTAGGAGGTCTGAGCTATGCGCCGTCGTATGCATCATTCGTGCCAAAGAAATTGTGCAAGTATTCAGGGGTCAGTGTCATATTGAATGCAGGCAATTTGGCTATGCACGACGTGTCCAAACGTTCAAGATCGCCGTTGTTGGCGACGAATGATGCCAGTAGCTCCTCACCACAAGTGTAATCGTCTTCGCCAAACGGTGTTGAATCTATTATCGAGTGTGGTGCGTTGTCGAATAAAATGAGTTTCTTTCTGGTAGTATCGAGCGCCTCAAACAAAGCCGTAGCGTATTTGAAATGAGTCAGAGAGTCTAGTTTCCCATTCATCAGAAGAACACTGGCTTGACCGGGCAAGATTGGAATTTTGTTCCATAACTGGTCGCGCGGATAAGTTATCCCATCCGCATCGTATCTGCCAAGTTCGATTTCATCACAACCCGGTGATATATCTTTCGAAAACGCGCAGTATAAGCAACGCGAGTAGAACGCAGACCCACTTGCAATGTTCACATCCATAAGCCGATTTCTCAATTCGGTGTGAGAAGGCGTAGGTATCTCCCACATTTCTGAAAACACGATAAGATGGTGGAGCAATACTGACGTGTGACCCGGATCTTCGTTCGTCTTCAAATTCATTGCGTATCTGTGCTTGAAGAAGTGCGTCAAGACGTTGACATCATCTGTGCCACAGCGACTGATCCTGTATACCAACGGTGGTATCATGAGCCGCATTTGTGAATCCTTCATTAGCCTGCCCAGTGTCCGTCGTAGGATAACAGATGGTTGTACATCTGTCGAATTTCGTATCAGGGTGGCACACGTCGAGTTGGAGACGCTGTCAAAAATGGAGAGCACATTATGAAGCGTAGCAGACAAGTCGGTGGTTTTGAAGTGAGAGTCACACTTGCTGTCTTGCGCACACAGCGCCATGAAACGCTCGCCCACATCGCCAAAATCAGCGTCCACGTTTGTTAAGTAGGCCCTATCACCAGGTGCTCCTGAATAGGTGACGATGCTATCCAGCACGTATCCAGTCACATTTGACGGATTGAAATGCATCAGACGTTGGACCACCATCGTTCCGTAGCTCACACCGAAAACAATGGTGCTAGCACCATTCGTATACTCGGAGATGAAGGCCGAAATGTCCATGGCAGCGCTTGTGGTTGAGAAAGGAGCAAGGGTTTTATACTTACGGTGTAGTTCTCGAGCACAAGACGGAACCTCGGAGGGATCGATTGTCCGGCTGGATGCAGACCCTTTCGTCATGCTTTGTAATGCTACGCAATCCAGTAGCGTGCTACGTCCAGTGCCACGATGATCCATCATATACACGTTGACTGTTCCATCGAGGCGCGCATGCAATGTCTCCATCAAGTACTCCACTTCAATGTACAAGATTTTAATTAGCTGTGACAGTATAAAAGTATAGATATAACGTCGACTTACTGTCCGTGGAGGGGGCTCCAGGTCCACCTGCAATCAGCCAAAGATTAGACGCCCTTTTAGCCTTGCCCATCGAAGCAGGCATCCGCTTTACGAACACGTCAATCGTTGGATTTGCATCTACCGGTGCCTCACAAATACCGGGGTAACACAAAGGAGCCTCGAACATCGCGCAATCGGCATCGTTGTCGCTCTGGTCGGTCCCGTCCAAAACAGTGTACGTCGAGCACTGATACCACCCATTGGGCATGTTGATTGAAGGATGACTCAACGCCCTTGGCGCTTGGCGGAGGAAACCGGCCGCGAGGACGGCCAGCCCGTGGTGGAGCTGCATCTTCTTGGCTCCGGCGTCGTCGAGATCAAAAGTTTTTGAAAATGAGTCACACTTTGTGCGAGCGAAAAGCACGTCATCAGTGTTTGCGAGAGATGGGACGGAAAAGGCTAGTCCAAGTGTGATAATTCGTCTATTGTGACGAGAAAATAGCGCAGAGTGGTTTACATGAAATCATGATCGTCAAGGTACGTGCAGGCAGAGCAAGTTACGCTATCACAAGGTTTATATATGTGTGCCCTATGCACGTACGACAATCAAAGTGACGGAAAGTTAACGTGACAGGAACTTGATGGTGGCTACTGTATCTACCGGAAAGAAAGATGGGTCAGAAATCATATTTAACGAATTTTCAATCACTATTACACTTGGGCCATATTGTTGCGAGGTGCATGGCTGTCAGCTCACGTCAAGATGACATACTTTTGATAGATTTTCGTGATGTACCTTGATTTTCAGTAGTGGACATGTAACAAAGGTGTTAAGGCGGACAAAGCGAGTATGGCTGCGAGAGGAAGGTGAGCAAGCGACCGGTCGATATGTAAACTGATACGGTGGCCGGTATGCCCTTACTGGCACGAGTATGAAGTCGGTGACGGCTAAATGCGCACACAAAAGAGATGCAAAAAATGCTGTGTCCAGCGACCAATGTTGATGTCATCGACAACGCATCCTCATATCTGATTTTTAGCCTTGCAGTGGACACACAAAGGCTGCAAGGATCGTGTGTTTGAAGCTTAATGATGGAAGGGCGCACACGTGGGATATCTCACTGTATCGAACCTGCGCTGCGTGAAACGAAAAATGAACGTCGAGCTCGGAAACATTACGTTAGATTGCATAAAGTGTCTGGTCGAGACACCTCTGGTTGTTATCAACATGCGTTTCAATCGGATTAATCAGACCTGATGGGCCATTATAATCGCTTTGTCCGAAACAAAGCACCTATTCCTGAACTGTATTGCATTTCGAGTCCTCCTGCCAACTCTGACACTCTGCAACAAATATTAGTGGGCGACAATGCATGTCGGCTTGATGGACACGTGCATCCACATTGTGTAGCGGGGCACCCTGAAGCTTGTACTGGTGACAGTACAAGCTACTTATTCTGATGACATAATAAGGCGGTGCCCCGTAACTTCACGTACACTCGTACGTGCAGAGGAAGACGGTAAGAATAAGCGAGTACTTGGTTAAAGTAAAAAGTAGAGCTGTATTTATAATAGTTAATGTCTGCAATAAATCACTATTTATCTTCATCTAACTATGTCTAAATACAAATGTGTAAATCAGTTATCTGCTCACCACTCATCGCGTGCGTCTGTCGTGGCGCGTCTTCGTTGGTTGATATAATGGCCTATATCAACCAATTAGGAACTACTCGTAAGTGCTACAGGATACTTGTCCTTATGAAAATATTCTGAGAATATAATTCTTATAATTATATTCTATTAACAATTTCTTATAAATTGTTATGTAGCGATTCACCCCGTTACATCACCCCCCCCTTAACCATCAGTCACTTTAGTGACTGATTGACTAAATGGATACTCGTCCCAAATCATTTGGGACAGGGTTTGCACTTGTTGGTCCGAGTCCACTTTCCAACATTTCATCGCATGATTAACAAGCCCATGCGATGCGCGAGCAAGGCCGCCGAGAGCGCGTCCGCACGTCTCTGTGCGGACGCCGAAGCAGAAACCGCAGCAACTGATGTTTCATTGGTTGCTGAAGCGACTCAGCCTGTGTCACCTGGTGATGAAGGCGCTCGTCATGAAGACACTCATGTCTTCACAGAGTATGAGCTCGGTGTCTCATACTCTCCTGATACGGAAGACGGATCGGTATCGACGGCGATCGAATCCAAGCCGCCTGCCAAGCGTGGCATGGATGATGCTATGCGTCGTAGCATCTTTGGTTCATCTGATGAATCAGATGAACCATCGCCGAAGCGAAGGCGCTCGAGGTCGCGAGACTCGGGCGCTCACAGTGGTGTCGGTTCTCCTATTGACACCACTTCGCAACGAGGTGCCAGTACTTCTGTCGGTACGTCGCAGGAAGAGCAGGACCGCAACGTGTTGCGTCTCGCTCCTGAAAAGAAGGCATGGCTGCCTCCAAAATCCGTCATGGATCACTTGTCGGCGACGACGAGTGATCGCTATCGAACACGATTGTTCGATTCGTCAAGGATCCATCACCTTGACCCCAGCGCGAAAAACTATCACACTGAGCATGAATTCTTCATCTATTCTTTCATTAAGCATCGATGGTACAGTGGGAATCACAAACGTGATGGTCCCTCACTGCTTCAGGCGTGGAACGCCTACATCCATAACCTTGAGGATGTAGGTCGTGACGCTTGGAACGACAAACTTATCAAAGCTCGTGATAAGTTTGAGAAAAGAACCCCGACAGGTGCACGCTATAAGTTGCTTCGTCTGTCAAAGGAGGGTGGTTTACCCTGTCTTTCCTGGGGAGACCCGTGCTCTTGTTGTGTGAACAACTCTGCGCGCGCACCTAAGGAGGCTTACCTCCTTACTAGCCCGTGGTGGCGCGTACGTATCTCGATTGAGATGTACGAAGGGATTGACAACCTGAAATCCCTTTACGACGGTGCCGGGAAGACTTTCTCCGGCCTTCCTTCTGCGGCACAGGATGTGCCGCGTCGTACTGCTCAACCAGACCCAGTACGTCGATCATCAGTTGGGCGCGGGGCTCCCAAGAATCCCAGGACGGGGGAAAGCCGCGCCACCGGACGAGATAACTCGTCCGACATTTGTTCAAGTCGCGGTGGTTCAACAACTGCTCTACTAGATAGCGCTGGCCACCGCGAGAGTCTTCTAATGGAGGTGGAGGAGGAGGAAAGACGCCCTCCACACGATCATGTGGATCCGTGTGTTCCCAAAAGCTTCTTTGATCGCGTAACGCAAGGGTTACGCGACGATCTCGAACATGAGCGGAATAGGCGTCTCCAAATGGCGGACACTGCCTCGAAGCATCGAGCTGAGTTTGCCTTTGCTCAGCTTGAGAACGAGAGATCTCTGACATCTCTTCGTGACGAGCTAAGGGTAGCTCGTGGGATTGTTGATCGGTCTCGGGCCGAGATAACTGCTCTTCAGACCCTTGTTGATGCCCACCATCGGGAGTAAAAGGCTCTTTGCGAGATGCTTGAGCGCAAGGGCGTTCTTCATCGGAAGAAGCAGCGTACTGATGGTACGGCTTAAGCCGACCAACGTAAAACGTGGGATGCGTTCGCATCTTACGTGGTAACTCGATCGTGTATGCATTGCCTAGGCGGTGCAATACACGAAATGGGCCGATGTACTTGGGTAGTAGTTTACTGCTACCCAAGTTAGTCACTACATGCTTTGGTAGATTAACCGTAGACAGTAGGACTAAGTCACCTTTATTTAATAAAAGAGTGTTTGCCCTTCCATTCTTGTCTGCGTTTTGCTTTTGCTTGTCCACCGCTTCGGCTATGGAGTCTTGCACAAAACGGACTACCGTTTCACGAGCCAGTATGAACTCATCTGCTGACTCGTTAGCTTCAGTGCGCTGTGAGCGCACTGCAGCAACATCAACCTTTTCTTCAGTGAGGGCTTCCGCACTCTCACTGGCATCATCTTCTTCGATATCGATGTTGTCGATATCGGCATCAAACGCAATGACCTCTTCGTCAGAGCGTGATGAGCGTGAACCAAATCGGTTTTTGCTCGCGCGAGTCCCTCCCCCCTTAAACCAGAGTTACACTCTAGTAAGGTGGGTACACGCGGATGGCGCAAGCCATTCACGTAAATCGGTGTATGTGTCGTGAACGCATGCACCGAGTTGTTAATGGCAAACTCTACCATCGGCAAAAACTCACTCCAACTCTTAAAGGAGTGTACGTATCCTCGAAGTATCTCTTCAAGGAAGCGATTGGCACGTTCCGTCTGACCATCTGACTCTGGATGATCAGATGTTGACATCTTCAAGCGCGTTCCGAGTGATTTGAACACGGAACGCCAGAAATCAGCAGTGAATCGTGGATCTCTGTCTGATACGAGTTCACGGGGCAACCCATGAAGTCGGAAGATGGTGTCGATAAAGACACAAGCACAGCCACTTGCCGGTATTGTCTCTGGTACAGCCACAAGGTGTACCATTTTGCTGAATCTGTCAACAAATACGAGAATACCCGTATTCCCGCGTGCGTCTTTGGGTAACCCGAAGACAAAGTCCATTGAGATGGATTCCCAGCACTCAGCCGGAACCGGTAGAGGCTGTAAAGGTGCACGCAGTGAAGGACTTGACTTCACTCGTTGGCAGACTTCGCATGCGCGAACATACTTTCGCACAAACTGATACTGGCGGGGTCAGTAAAAGTCTCGACTCACCGTGAGATACGTTTTCTCCCGTCCACGATGTCCTCCTATAGGAGCATCGTGATACTCGAACATGATCCGCAAACGCAGATCAGTATCATCTGGGATGACAACACCGTAGTGTGTCACCAGAAACGGCTGTATAATACAGTAAACCGTTACGAGTAGTGTATCGATCTGATGCAGATCGATACGCAGGCGACAATCGTTTTAACGATTCTCGAGATGGTTGAGAGAGATGTGTCAACAACTTCACAATCTCACCATCTTGGGCGTATGCCCGCCTCACATCATCATACAACGTTGTAGACGGGACTGAGGACGTCATAACCGCAACAGTGACTGTCTCACTGTTGGGTTTCGCGACTGTTTCAAAGTCGGGACGACGTGAGAGTGCATCAGCGACGACATTAAGTCGTCCTGGTTTGTACTCGAACGTAAAGTTGCATTCTGCAAAGAATGACAACCACCGCGCCATTCGTTGTGAAAGGTGCGGGCTGTTCACTGCCGTGCGTAACGACGCATGGTCAGTGTAAACAATGAAGGGTCTATCTCCTAACAGATAGACTCTGAACTTCGCGAGTGCATACTTCATGGCAAGGAGTTCCTTGTCATGCACTGGATATTTCCTCTCAGCTG